CTCAGAGCACGCAATAACACCTTTGCAAACTTGCAGGCATGCGGATGCATTCAGATTGCTTACATTTTAAGCCGTAGTCGTCCATCTTCATGTGTATGACAGAAGCGGTAGTGCAGTCCAGACAATGTAGTCCTAATACACAGTCAGTTAGGTTTACGTGTGATCGAATATCGTTCGTGTGCATGAGCCTCGTCAAAGGCATAACCAAGTATCATAAATAGGAAAATCCTAGTTAGGATCCATCTTTTTCGGGTGCCGAACCAACACGTCCACACAGTTGCAAGCCAATGCAAAGTTTGGTCGTCTCTTACTTGTCCAGTGAAAAAAAGACGGATAATAAATGCTCCTTTGCTATTAACGGAGGCGGAACTCATTTTTGTTGTATGAGAAACCACTGCAAAAGAGGGCGCGCACGGGATTGAACCATGAACCTGCCGATCTGCAGTCGGCCGCTCTACCATTGAGCTACACACCCTACTATACAATTAGCAAAGACTGCCAGTTGCCAGGACAGCATCCACGTACTGTAATGGAAGCTTGATGCTTGAGCTGCCGGGGCATCACGACAGGCAAAAGGGGAAAGCCGAAAGGCGACCACGGGGTTCAACCGTGAATCTGCCGAGCAGCAGTCCCAAGCTACAATGACGCACTCAGCACATAGAGAAAGCATGAAAACTAGTGCCTGTTCTAAATTTAACGGTGACTGGCAATGCAAAGAGTGAAACAAAGCACGAAAGTTGGCGTATCAAAAGAAGGGCGCGCACGGGATTGAACCATGAACCTGCCGATCTGCAGTCGGCCGCTCTACCATTGAGCTACACACCCACTGGAACTGCGTTGTCCTTGTGCTGCTTTACAGCATTCTGAATCGTTTTACTCCCTGAATTTCATTTCATCTATACTGTCTTTAGCGGGAAAGCCGAGGAACCTGAAGAGGGTCGCTGTTAGAGTAGAGAGACAGCATTTTGGGAGTCGCCGGTTCAAATAGTGGGCCCCAAGGGGGCCCCCCAGGTCAGAGCCTCAAATGCTCGACTGGAGGAAGAGGCCACTCTCCCACGTTTTGTTCTATACAAACATTCTAGCTGATTGATATACTTTGATTTTACTCCTCATTACATCTCACTGTAGCCGCGAGAAATGCCTGACGTGCTCTCGTTCCAGTGAAACCATCGCTCCAGCACCTAGCTGTCCTCAGCAGATTCATGCGAAGTAGCCTGTTTCAACTTTTCTGCTTATTCCCGTAGAGTTTGTCTGTTAAATTCAGGTGAGGAATCGGATGTGGAAAGGAGCGCTTCACACCAACAAGCCACCCTAAGCTTCTAAGCATGTTCTCCAGAGTCATTTGAACGACCTTGGAGTTAGGATGCAGAACTGTGGCAGTCGTCTGTGTGGCATTGAGTTGTTCCTTTTGCATGCTGCTTCTGTTTGTCTTCACTTTTCATAAATAGATTCGAACTGATATTAATCAAAACTTGCAACATACCAAGTCAGTTGACCGGCGGTCTACCCTGTAAACTCACGGCAGCTGTTTACACTCACCTCAGGGTCTCGCATTGCTGGAGGACACTCTGCATCTATTACATGTTTTGATGTTGCAGACGTATAGACTGCTGAACAGCAAAGCTGCCTGTTTGTGCACTGCTCTGGGTTGCGCCACAGTCAAACAGCAGAACCAGCGGTTGAGTAGGGAGCTCCAGCACAAATGTCTTGCATTGGAGGGCTGGAGCAGCAGACAGGGCCCCCTGTGGACATCTCTGCCTCTCTCGTTGGCGCCTGCAGGCCCTTGGACTTGTCCAGGTTTCTCGGAATCGTTGAAGCGACTGTTGAGTTCGCACCATCGTGGAATCAACTGCGGAGTTGGTTTGCGTGTTTTTGAAGGATGGAGAGACAGCGAAAGGACTTGCAGCGCGGGGAGGCCCCCAGGTCAGAGGAAGTGCAGCATAACAGTCTTACTACTGATGTGCTGGAAGACTGTGTTGGGCCCCGGTGGGATGAGAAGCGACATATTTGTTTAGACTTTTCCTCCCCGCTGTTTTTTCTTGAAACCCTCACGGGGAGGGACGGAGGCCTCTTGAACCCGCGGCTAAATCTGAGCAATTTGCTGACACTGGACATTTCCAACAATGCATTGGCCGACATCGACTCGGTGTTGTCTGTACACAACGGCTTCAAGCGGCTTAAAAATCTCAAAGCGGCCCACAACCTCATCACGCAAGCAGACCTCGACCTACCGACGTTGGCGCACCTCGATTTGTCCTTCAACCAACTGAAGCGCCTGCCCAGGTTTGAGGGAATCCGCAACACTGAAGAACTCCTCCTCTCCAACAACAACATCAGCGGTCAGCACACAGACACCATGTAGTTAGTCCCTTTCAACTTTACAACGCTCGCTGTACGCGCAGCGACTCATACTTTACTTATCGCCTCGTACTAATCCTCGTGAGAGGTCTGTGATTGTTGTACATGCACACTGCCACGTACGGACGCGTGCCCCGTCATTTATCTGCATGTGTTCCGCTGTGTCATGACTAACCGATTTGGTGGGCTTTGAGCCTGCTTTATGGTGCGTTGTGGTGACTTGGCTCTGTGGAGCTCTTGTTATTCGGATGTCGGTGTTGCGGCTGCATGCACGGCCTGCAGATTCGGAGCTGCAAAGCTTTGTGCTGCTGGGAAATCTACGCGTGTTGGATTTGTCTTACAACATCATCAGCACTCTGCCTTCAAACTTCGTTCAAGATCTCACCTACCTCAAGGGTCTTACGAAGCTCACGGTGGGGAGCCAACAGTGCTTCAAATTGTGACTGCTGCTGTTGTTGCTGTTGTAGCTCCTTCTGCCCCGTTTGTTGCGCCTTGTGCGTATGTAGGAGGTGGCCATGTTGGGTTTGTGGTTCAACCGTTGACTTTTCGAGTGTAAATGATATGCGTGTACACTCAGAAAGTTGATTTTCGAGGGAACCCATGCAGCGCGTGGTTCCCAGAGTATGCGGCGGTCTTAGTGGGGAATGCAGTTGCCAGCGGACAGCACCTGCAGCAACTCGACGCAGAGGCCATTGCTCCGCGTTCGGAAAAAGAAATAACGGACATGGCAGCTCATGTCATTGCAAACGTGGACCAGTGAGATACTATTTGCAGCTACCGATACACCCGACGTAGCCACCTCATGCGTTTATAATTGTAATAAACAAGCAAGTATTAGTTAAAAACCAACAACTGTTCAAACTGATACGTCAGCACAAAACACTTGTTCAGAGTTGTAAAGCAACACAAGTGTTCACGATTGTCACCGCCCGCACCCGGTGAAATTATTTGGCGCTTCAAGGGGGTACATGCGGCTTTAGTTGAAGGCCTCCGTATTGAATCCCTCTGCCTCTTCTGTGAGGGTTCGGGTGTATGTACAGATATGACTCCACCTACATTGAGCGTCAAGAGGCTGAAGCTACACGCCCCCGGCTAGCCAAATACGCCATAAAGGTTTGTATGCGTTCCTGCGGCCCCTGCTGAGCTGCTGCTCTTATCTGCATTCGGTTATACATGGTGGTCCTCTGCTTTCTGGGAGTTATTTGTTTCTGGTGAAGTGTGTGACATGCTCATTGTTTGTTTTTCTTGAGGTGAGTTTGCTTTTTTCCCATTTATCTTGTTGGGGATGTCCATGGTGTGCTGCATCCACTGGTTAGTGTCTGTGTGGAAGCGTCGAGATTTAGAATCATGGACTTCGAGACTGTTTCGTCGGAAGAGGGTCCTAGCCCACTCTGAAGTGAAGGGTGGTGGAGGGCAAGAATGGTGTGGCTGATTGGTGGTGATGTGTGCAGACAGCTCTCGCTGGTGATGATGGAGACGCCACGATTGGACGGCTCTCGGGAATCTTAGAGAAACTCTTGACTGTCTCCTCAGCTGCCTCGGCTGAGCTCGGTGCCACCTTCTACGATATTTGCTTCCGGGCAAGGCAGTGCATAGCCAGGCATCTGGACAGCTGCTGTCTGTTGCAACAGCTAACGCTGTTGCTTCTATGACTAGTTGTGATCTGACATGGCTGTTACTGCCGGCTCTTGCTGCCCCCATCGCTGCTGGTGCTGTTCCTCTGTTCGTTTTGTCAGACATTGTATGGGCTTGCACCTGCAGACCGCCAGGTGTTTAGTTTTTTGGTAGGCCTTTTTTGCTGTTGTTTTGCCGATCAGGTGCATGCGATGGAAGAAGATGAGCGGAGTACAACATTCTGGAGGCAACAGCCAACTTCCGATAAAGTGAGTGAAGCAGCGTGGGCACATACAGAGTTGGTTAGTTGGAGGCTATGGAGTTAGCCAATTGCTGAGTTGGTGTGTTAGCTTGTGAGTCCGCGGGCAGTCTATACCTCCCATCATTTGATGAGTCGCGTTCTGTCTTTTCTGAGGCTTGTCAGCTTGTCCACGAGATCGGCAGACCCGTGGTATTTGCTGCAAGCAGAGGTGGTTCTTCAGCTACAGCAGTATTTAGCTGCTTGGTGCTTGACTTGCTGCTTTGCATGCTCCGACTATGCGGGCGTGTGAGTCAGGCCAGAAGAGCCGCGGCTATGGACTTGGTGCAGAAGGCTCAACTGGCCCTGGAAGTCTGCGATGAAGCTCGACCCCTTATCCTGCGGTGGGTATACATCCATACAATGCAGCGTCTCCCTGTCTGCTAGATCGCAAGTAACTATTATATATGGGTGTTTGAGTTTGCACGTGTTTGTGTCCGGTGTCTGTCTTTCTTGCAGTGGCCTAGGCAGTCTGTGCATCGTCTCGGAAGGCTCTTTGGGGCACAAGTTGGCAGGTGTATTGGCGCAAATGGCCAAACAAGAATTTGCATCGCAGGCAGAAGGAGACACGGGAGGACAGGCAGCAGAAGTTCTAGCAGAGATCGTCGTACCCTCCCTCATGGAGGTGGCCGATCAGGTACAACTGTACACGCCTGTATAAGGATGTTTCTGAGGGTATTTGCGTGGTTATTGGGAGAATCGCTCGAGCCTGTATTGGGGCTTAATAGTACTGATTACGGTTTATTAGTCCTGATTAGGGTTTGTATGGGCTCATTAGGTTCATCAGGGTTTATCAGAGTTTATTGTGGTGTTTGCACTTTCTGCTGGTCTGCAGGAGAAGGTGGTGATGGATGTGCTGACGGGGCTCACAGAAGGGACGGAGTCTCTTGCCATGGCTGTCGCCCTCAGCAGCTGCGTTTCCCTCCTGTCGGACCTCCTGACTCTCTCAGGCCCGACTCTGTAAGACAGCAAGTAGCCAACCGAACATCAAACGAGCTAATGCGCAAAGTCAACAAACAGGGGCCTCACAGGAGCCCCAAATAGGGGCCCATGCAGCGACCTCCTGGGGCCGCGTATTGTGGGGTCCCTTCCGGAGGTTCTTTTGTGCTGGGAGCCTTCGATTGATATTTGCGTATTATGGTGTGCGGGGGCTGTTCGTGAAGGCATGGTGGCCTTGGATGCACTGGGTTACTATTACGGGCACTACACTTGTCGAGTGCATGCATGTATATGTTAGTACAGCTGAGGGGGGAATCCAACAGACGACCTTCGGCTGATGGATACAGCGGACGGTTTCGAGATCAGAAGGGGAGGCATGGGGAATAGTGGTGGGGAGGGCCCAACTGATTTGGCCGCTGGCGCATGCAATGGAACTGGCAGTCTATGCGGCAGGCTACAGAGTGTATTACAAGCTGTGACTCCGTCTTTATTTGGATGAAGAGTGCATGCATTCCCCGCATAGGTTTTGGGGCTTGAAAAGGGTGGCTCCGGAGTGCATGTGTGCTGCAGGTCCCTTTGTCAGGTGCTTTCCGTAGTCTGTCTCGCGCAGGAGAATTGCGTGGAGGCAACAGGCCAAGGTGTCCCCCAGGTACAGAAAGCTCGTCATAACATGAACATCTCCATATCTGTTTTCGTCATCATATTAAAGGTGGTGCATGCATATTCGGGTGTAGGCGCTGGCAAAGGCGGATGCTGTGTACCTCTGGGGTGTTTGCACAGCTGCTGTGCCGTCGCGTGTTGGACGAGGGAATTCCCGAAGATGACCAGGGCCTCATGCTGTTTTGTGATATGTGCATTATCATGGGGTAAGGGATATGCAATCTGGCGCATTTCTCCTCTTAGATGTGCCTTTCTCCGCTTGTCTGTCTCTTGCTCTTCCTCCTATCTGTTCTTCGTATACTGTCTCTCGTTGCGTCTGTCTCCTCGCGTTCTTCTCTCGTCTGCTGTTCGCCCGTCAACCGTTTGTGTATGAGTCGCATTAGCATTAGCCGATGTCCCTCCGGAAGACATCTACACAGGAGGAAGAATCCCTTCTTGCTTTCCTCTCCGTCGCCACCTGTCTATTTTTCTCCCCCTGTGGCTTTGCTATTCTTACAGACTGTTCCTTTGGTGTGTCTGTCTATGCGTATGTGTGCCCGTATTCTGTACCTCTTTACTTTTCCTATTTTTTTCTTTTTGTGTTTCTCGTTACTTGCCCGTCACTACGCTCTGTTTATTCCCGGAAGACTTGTTGAGTGTATATATATATATATGTTTATAGTATGTATAGTAGCGCT